AGGAAGTAAAAAACCTCTCTCTATGGTAAAAGGATAGAGTAACATGTTGTCAAATTCAATACAGTAACCAAAGGCAGCTTGGAGATGATGACCTGCCTTAACTAATCACAAATTATCATCATCATCATCATTATTATTATTATTTTGTGCCAGTCTTAGGGCGTGAACTCAGGGCATGGGCTGTTTTGCTCAAGGCTACTGCTCTATCAGTTGAGCCACAGCTCCACTTAGAGCTTTTTGTTTATTCATTGGAGCTAAGTGTCTCATGGACTTTCCTGCCCCAGCTAGCTTCAAACTGAGATCTTCAGATCTCAGCCTTGTGAGTAGCTAGGATTACTGGGTGTGAGGTGCCTGACTAACTGGAGATATCTTGCAAAGGAGCGTGGAGACAGACAAGGAGTTTCATCTTGACCAAGTTCTTGGGGTAGAAATGCAGGCATGAGGGCAATTCCCTTAATGCATGGTTTCTGGGAAGGCTGGGCCGTCTGTGTCTCTTTCATGCATTTGCTTTCCCCCTCTGCTGCCCATCATGCCACAGCACACTGCAACTGTTGTGCAGCTCGGCTCCCTGCCCTGCTGGGGTCAGCTCTGCCTGCGTCCTGCTTCCCTGCATTGACTGGACCTTCTCTCCCAGGTTCTGATGAGAAACCTGGATCTTGCCACTCAGAGACGCTCTGAGGTGGAACATGCAATCTCACCCAACAGATGTCTGTGGGGCACACACTCCATGTTTGAGAAAGAGGTAATTAAAGGAAAGCAAGCAAGAGGGAATTAAAATAAGGCTCCTGTCTTGCATAACCCTTGTCTAGTGGGACAGGCAGGCTTACATGTAAGTGGTCAGAAGGAGGAATTTTGCAGGAGGTGGCATCTGAGCCTGCGTGGGCTGGAAGCAGGTGGCGAGGGGGTGGAGGCATTCCAGCCTGACACATCAGAGCCAAGAACAAGAACAGAGGGCAGTGGGAACGGGAGCCGGGACTGCAGGGCTCAGATCTCAGTGAGGCCTCGAGTGCCAGACAAAAGGGCTAGAGTGGAAAACAGTGGAAGATTCCTGGCCTTCTCCTGACCAGGCGTGTTGGAAGAGGGGACAGTGGGAGTGTCCACACGGGCCATTTTGCCCTTTCTCCTTCTGAGTGTCCATTCCCACCACTGGCTAGGAATGCCAGCACTGTGATCTGTATCTGAGTCGGTCATTTAAGCCACAGCAGGACGAGCATGAAGGCTGCCATTGTTTTCCATGCTCACTTAGCCCTAAACAAAACTGCAGGGGAAGGGAGAAAATACTTGAGAGATTTTTTTTTTTCTTAAAGCAAAATGGACATTTGACCTAAACTGGTGCTAACAAGTTAACAATATTTTTAAGCTATCAGAGACCATGTAGAGGAATTTGGCCTTTTGAAGGCTGCCAGGCCTGAAGCTAGGAGCAAGGATCCTCCCTGAAGAGGCTGGCTCCCTTCCCAACGCTGGGAAATACAACTTGATGGCTCTCTCTTCTAATGGGGCTAGGACCCAAAATGACAGCCCATCTCAGTAACCACCTGGTTACTGTGAATCCTTTGAGGGAGGAAAGTACTGGAATATGACAACAACAAAGCATTCTTAAAGACAAATCCCACAGGTTGAAAGAAATCTGGAAGAATGATAGAACGGGTGTCTCTGATGAAGATGCACCGTATTCATAAATTGATAAGTTGAATTAAAACCCTTTTGTAAAACAATTTTTTGGGGGGGGGTCCAGTCGTGGGGTCTGAACTCTGGGCCTGGGCACTGTCCCTCAGCTCTTCAGCTCAAGGCTAGTGCTCTACCACTTGAGCCACAGCGCCACTTCCGGCTTTTTTCTTTTTGCTTTTGTGGTGCTGAGGAATCAAACCCAGGGCCTAGAGCATGCAAGGCAAGCGCTCTACCACTGAGCCACCTTCCCAGCCCTGTAAAACAATTTTAAGCTAATAAAAAAACTCTGTTTCATCGCAACCACCTATTATATAAACAGTAGTATGTAAGAACCAACTGCATTTCTACGTAGTGGTAAGGAAGTGTTGTGAGTGAAATGGTGTACTATAAAGGACTCTTACCAAACACTTCTTATGGAGAATCGGTGGCAGGGAACTCTTCCTGTATGGTAACCAATCTGTGTTTGTGCAGAATGGTTATAGTGGGAAGTAAAGGGGTAGTTATGCCAGGCCTTTGCACCTTGGCCAATTTATATATAAAAACTGTAGGCCTGGCCATCTGTGTGACGACTTGGTGACCTATTTTAAGCAGAGGGAACAGAGATAAAAATTCCTGTCCTCTCAGGGGGGCATGGTGGCTCACACTTGTAATCCTGGCTACTCAAGAGGCTGAGATCTGAAGATTGTGGTTTGAAGCCAGCCCAGGCAGGAAAGTCCATGAGAGTCTTATCTTCAATTAACCATACACAAGAAAAGCTGGTTCAAGTGGTAGAGTGCTAGCCTTGGGCACAAAGGCTCAGGGGACAGTGCCTTGAGCCTTGGTCACAAACTGATACGTGTGCACAAACACTCAAATTCCTGCCGTCAAGACGCTTATGTGGAGCCAGGAAGACAGAAGAGAGACCAAAAGTTCAGTAAAATATGCACTATGAAAGATGGTTGATAAATGTTAAGTATAGAACTAAATCAGGGAAATTAATAGGAATATTAGGGTTGATCTAGGAAGCTGGAAGATCAGGGTGAGTCCCAGGCCTCCCTAAGAAGTGACACTGAGCAGAGTCCTGAAGAAGGTAAGAGAGTGAGGTATGGGGTAGAGCTGCCCATGAAACACAGGATGCTCAGATACACCGCGAATCATTGTAGGGCTAAGTCTGTCTCCAACTCTGCAGGTTATGTGCTAAATCTGGCAATCGTACAAGGAGGGTGAGTGTTTGTCAGAAGGGAACCCCAGGAAAGGTCCCCCCAAGAACGGCATTGGGGAAGGGAAGACATGAGGACTCGAAGGGTTCTGGGGGGGACGATCCTGCAGCCCTGGGAAGACCTGTTTTTTTCCTCTGAGCTGGATGACAAACTTTAAAAAATTGATCTGTGAGACATGATCTGATAGAGGTTTCATGAGCTTGTTCGGTGCTGCTAAAGTTCATGGAGCAGGGAAGGGCAGGAGCAGGTGAGGAAATGTGACTTCCAGATTGCTGACCACATATAGAAATCATCTGTCTCCAAACACAGATGCATCAAAACAGGTGCGGCATTTTGGATGGCATGGTCCCTCCTGGATTCATGAGTGAAGATTTCTCCGTACCTCTTGGAAAGCCTCGTTTTCAGATAGTAATCGACCTTCCAAGGAAAGCCTGTCATCTCATTAAATGAAAATGCCTCAACCACTGCTCTACCATTCTTTAAACATAAATAAACAAGCTGGGCACAGAATAGTGTGTGCCTGTAATCTTAGCTACTCAAGAGGCTGAGGTCCGAAGATTGCGGTTTAAAGCCAGCCCTGGCTGGAAAGTCCAAGGGACTCTTATCTCAAATTAATTACCAAAAAAAAAAAGTTGAATGTGGAGCCTGTGGCTCAAGTGGTAGAGTGCTATCCATGAGCAAAAAAGCTCAAGGACAGCGCCCAGGGCCCGAGTTCAATCCCTACGACCGTCACAAAACCAAATAAACAAAAATAAAAAATGGATAAAATAAAAATAAATAAAAAATAAAGGGGGAAGTTTCTGGGGAGGGGGAATCTAACTCTTTATCATTGACTAAGCTAGGAGTTAGAGAAGTCCTGCTTTCTGAGTGCAGTCCCTTGCCATCCAGCAGGGCTGTAAAGGGAAGATTTCTAAGCAGGATTAAGACCATGTCTCTGCTTTGGAGGCTATGTTTAAAGGAAGCATTTCAAAAGCACAAGCCAGGCAGGTAGCTGTACTATAAAGCCCTGTGCGGATGCCATCTGTGAATGATCACTCCCCCCTAATGCACTTAATTTTACTGTGGAGATAAGTAATAAAGACTTCACAACTGCTACACACCATGTCACTGTTATTACAGTGGGGTTCATTTAAACCCAAATCCATTTTTCGTCTTTGGCTCGGGCAACCTCTCCCCTCTAGATGAAATGGCTGGGTTTGGCTACTTTTTCACCTTCCCCAGACGACACATTCGCCATGATGAAAAGGCCGAGGAAATGATTTTCCAGTTACCTGCTCTTCAAATTAGAAATTACATAACTGCTCTGAGAAGGGCGGAGGCAGCCTCCTTCAATTCCGATGGTTGCTGGATCGATCACCTGGCGGGGCAGGGCCAGGCCTGGTGCGGGCCCATGGGGAGGGGGCCCACCCAGTGTGAGGCAGGGCGGGGCAGGAGGGGGGGCGCTCCGCCACCCCGTCCTCCTCCCTCTCCTCCTAGGGGCAGAATGGGCACCCAAACCTGGGCTTCCACGCAGGAACCTGCCTGGCCTACAGTGACACCACTCCCCCTGGGAAGCCCGGTGGGGGTGGGGGGTGGGGAACCTTACAGGCTGGGTGTTTGCTTAGCCAGTGTGCTCGGCCTGGGGCTGGGGAAGCAAGGATTCCGCGGCGTCCACGCGGGACCGGGGACCGGGAGCCGCCCAGGGGTGAGGGACACCTGCCAGTGGCTGGCCTCCCCTCGCCCAGGGCCCGCGAAGTTCCAGAACTGGTGTCTCCAAACTCCTCGCGCTAAAAGCCACCTCAGAGCATCCGCCCCGCAGGCCTCCCAGCGCGCCCACCCCCGCGCATGGGGGTGTCCCCACGAACATTCTGGAAGCCTGTTGACGGGGGTGGGGGGAGGCGATCGGGCGGCAGTGGAGGGCAGAAGTTCCCCCCACAGCTCGGAGCGACCCCCCCCCACGGCCTCATGTTTAATTCATAACTGCAGCCCGCGGATGGGCACCCGGCGCGGGAGCGCGCGCCCTTCGGCGCACGCGGGGCCCCGCTCCCGGCGCTTCCCGGGCGGCCGCCCGCGCGCGCGCGCAGACACGCGAGTATGCACTCTCGACCTCGGGAACCCCACTTCCGAAAAACAATTCAGATCCCAGGCGCCGACCTGACGGTCTCCAACCCCGCGGCTCCGCTGAGCGGCCGCCCCGCTGATGGGAGAACCCGCAGCCGAGCGCCCCCGATCGTTCCCGTGCCCCACGAACCGGGTCCTCAGCCCCGCCGCCATCGGCACCTGCAGGCCGGGCTCGGGAAGACGCCGCAGGGCGCCCGGGCCGCGGGGTTTTCCCTCCCCGTCCCCCC